CAATAAAATTAATAAAATTACCAACACATACCATGGGCAAAATGAGTCTAATGTCCATCTGGAATAGGCAAAAATATCTAAAAATTTCCTATTATGTTTTTTAATTTTTTATTTTGAAGTAATTTTAATCTTAAAGAATTGTTGCTAGAATAATATAAGACCTCACTAAACACTTTAACCATATTCACCAACGTTTTACATTTTGCCAAATTTTTTATTGTCCTCCCTCCCCCAAATAAACATATACTTACTTATTTGTGTAAGTTAAGTAACTTACTTACATAAGTAACTTGCTCATATTTTTCTGAATCATTCAAGAGTGAATTGCATACATTAAGCCCTTTTCCCCCTTATACATCATTGCGTATTTCCTAAGAATAAGATATTTTCTTATGTAAACACAGTACATTCAGGAAAGCTAACAGTGATACGCTACTTTCGGTTACAATCTGTATTTCAGATGTGCCAATTGTACCAGAAGCTTACTTTATAGCATTTTTTTTCTTCCAGTACAGAATCCATTCCAGGATAATGTATTATATTTACCTTTAATTTATTTCACTTTAAACTTCTAAATGGTTCTTCAGCCTTTCTTTTCAAGAATACACACCAGACATTTTATAGAATATTTCTCAATTTGATTTTATCTGATATTCCCTCATTAGATTTCAGTAATGCACTTTTCAATGGAATGTTACCGAAGTGAGGTTCTGAACGTCTCAGGGAATCACATCCAGAGGCCATGACATGGGTATGCCTCTCTTCTGTCATGTTAAACTTCAGTCGGTCAAGTTGCTGTGCAGTTCCTCCATTCTGTAGTTACTTTTACTCTCCTTGAAATTAACAAGCACTCTGGGGGAAGAGGCTTTAAACCATGAACATAACCTACTCCTTAATCAAACTTCTATAAATTCATTAATGATCCTAGTATATCATAGTTGCAAAATTATGATTTTCCCAGTCCCACCACTTTTCTACATTTGTCAGCTTTTCCTTTATTTATTTTTTAATTTATTCAGTCCTCTTTTTGTTAATAATATAGATGTATACATTCCTGTTTTATTCAGTCGATTATAACTTATTATGGTCTTTATTGCAATGTTCAAATTATCTGTTTTTTGGCCAGTGGGGTCGGATTCAGGTTGGTTCCCCTGTCCTTTTGACATGTTCCCATCGTCTTACAAGCACTTTCTGGCACAAGAAAATGTTCCAAGCTTATTTTGTACCATTTTTGCCCTGGCCCTGAAATCACTCATTACTCCAAACAGCCCTGGTTCCTTTTAGTGGGGAACGGTTTGGGCACTAGGTATATTTGATGATAACGAGAGTCTTTGCTTCTAGTTCCTTAAAAAGGAGAAAGCTAAGAAATATATGTATGTCTAAATTCCTTTTTTTCTTTTTTATTGAATTTATTGGGGTGACATTGGTTAATAAAATGATATAGGTTTCAGTTGTATAATTTCTAATACATCATGTGTATATTGTATTATAAGTTCACCACCCCAGGTCAAGTCTCCTTCCATCACCATTTATCCACCCTTTACCCTATTCTACCTCCCCCTATACCCTCTGTGTGGTTTCTTAAATTTCTGAATTAATGCTGATAACTAATTCTAATCCAACCCCATGGAGCTCTTTCTGGCATTCCCCAATGGCATGTTTCTATCTCCCTTTGCATAGTGAAAACTCTGGCTCCCAAAATATCAACTCATTTACTTATTTGTTCATTCCTACAGTACATATAAAGTTATTTCAGAATCACCATACCCATACCCCTATGCAAAGCAGACCTAAAAAGAGCAGTATTTGTTGGAAGGGGGAGGTTTTCCCTTCCTGTAACATGTGATCAAAGGCAGTGTTCCAAAGTTGCATTAATTATTTCTGGGTCTCCAGCATGGCTAGTGTATTCATTTGAAATATGATTGGATTCATCTGTTTCCATTTGGATTCAGCTCTCAGGTGGTTTTTAAAATTCTGTTCACTTAATTTACTTTTGAATATGTAGAACATTAGCAGGCTTCCTGAAAGCCAGAACTCTGTAGCCAGGTAAACTCACAGAGGTGCCCCTTCCTCCCATGTCCCTTCCACCGGGTTCTGTCCCCCCACCCCCCTTAAACTACCGATTTCATTGTTTTCTTGAATATTTTCTTATGTTTCTTTTTTAATAAAAAATAAGCAGAAATATACACTAATTTCTTCCCTTCCTAAACAGAAAGGTAGTATACTATATAAACTGTTATGCACTTGTTTTTTTTTTTACTTACCAATATATCCTGGATGGCATTTCATATAGATTTATTGAACTCATCATTCTCATTCTTTTTTGCCATAGTACTGTTTCAGATGTATACCATAGTGTATTCAATCAGTCTTGCATGTTTGGGCATTTAGATCAGTTCCAATATTGCAAATACAAACCATGCTACAGTGAATAACCTTGTCCATGTGTATTTTCACATCATTGAAGGAATGTCTTCTTTCAGGGTAAATTCCTAGAAATAGGATTGCTGGGTGGAGGGATAAATGCATGCTTAGTTCGATTAGATATTGCCAAATTCCCTGCCACAGGGCTTGTACCGTTTTGCATTTCCACCAACTATGAACAAGAGTGTCTGTTTTCCCACAGCCTTACCAACTGAATACAATGTCAAGCTTTGGGTGTCTATGAATATTCCATTGAGAAATGGTATCTCAGTGTAATTTTAATTTACATGGCTCTTATTATAAGTGTTGAATATCTTTTCATAGATTTAAAGTCCATTGTGCATCTTCTAGTGAATTGGTTTTCCATAACTTTTGCCTGTTTTTCTGGAAGATTTTTGATCATTTTTAAAAATCTACTTATGTATTAGGGATATTTGCTCTTTACCTGTGATATATTATATCTATCGTATATCATGCTATATATCTATATATCTATATCTATATCTATTTACATATATATATAGCAAACATTTTCTCTCAGTCTGTTACTTGCCTTTTGATGTTGCTTCTCTTGTTTCTTACCACCCAAAAATGGTTTGTGTCAGAATAACCACATGAGAGTTTTTGTTATCAGTTCTAAAAATGTAACATAAAGCTATAAAAATTAAAACAGTATGGTTTTGATGGGAACCTAGGTAGAAACATCATTAGGATAAAATGGCCCTAAAATAGATACAAATATATGTATACATTTGAGTGTATGTGTTTTATAAATTTAGTGTATGATAAAAGGGACATTTCCAATCAGTGATGAAGGGGATGGTTATTTAGACCTCCAGTTAACTGTTTAAAACACTAAAGTTAGATCCCTACCTTAAATAATCCACCAAAGAAATTGTTGTTAAATGAGTTAAATGGTTAATAAATGAAGCCATCAAAATACTATAAGAAAATGTTGGTTAATTATATCAGCATTTCTCAACCTCAGCATTATTAGGATTGGGACTGGATGATTTTTGTTGTACGGAGCGTCCTGAGCATTATCCGATGTTTGGAACATCCTTCGTCTCTTCCCACTAGATATACATAGCACATCTATGTACATGCAATCAAAATTGTCTCCAGAGTTGTCTAATGTTCCCTGGGTTTGGGGGGACGGGTAAAATTGCTCCTAGTTCAGAACCACTGATCTGGATCATCTCAACTAATAGATGCATAGTATCCAAGAATGAAATTACAAAGGAAATTTTTGAAAATGTGTGCTAATAAAAGGAAAAAATTTTGGTACCTTAGGAAACTATAGCTGTAAAAGTGAAAGTCAAGCAACAAATTGAAAAATACATAGCATAAATGATATTCACATTACATAAGAAGTAATCAATAAGATGGCCATCCCAGCAGAAAAATGGGTGAAGCACACAAATAGACAATTCCCAAAGGAATCGATCTAAATAGCCAGATATAGAAATATCAAAAAATATTCACCATACTAATAATCAAAGGTATTCAAAATAAAAGTGCAGGATGCATGCTTTACCTTTAATGTTAGTAAATATTAGTCTTACTTGGCACAGGTATGGTGGACAGGTAATTTCATAAAGTGGAAGAAGTATAAGTAAGGATAATGTGGTGGAACACAATGGGCCATACACATTAGAACTTTCAACACACACACAGCTTTGTCCATGTAATGCTACTTCTGAGCCTTTATTCCAAGTAAATAATTGAACTATGAAAATGTTTGTTGCAAAACACTGGGAAAACCCATCTAACAATAAGGAACTGCTCAAGTTCCTTAAGTAAATTAAGGCATATCCATATATAATGGTGTATGTTAGATCACTATTATGATTGATGGTATATACATATACATGAGAAAATGAATAAATTATAGTCAGAAGCTCAGTAACAAAATTGTGTATGCATGTGTGTGTATTAATTATCTTTTTTTCTTTCTATTTACATAAAATTGAACATAGGTTATCTTTAGGGGTAAGGTTGTATAGAATTTGTTCATTTTTAATCTACATTTTCTCATGTTTCTTCCAATGAACATCTATCTGTCCCAATTCCAGTCTTAAAAAACCGAGTAAAATTTAAATAGCTTTTTAAAAAGAAATTTTCTATACTAGTGTTTATGAAAGCAACCTTATAACTGAAAAAGATATAATGATAATATGAATGTCGCAAAATAATTATCCATGTGATAGGCTACAATAGGAAAAGAAACTAGAAGGGTCTTCATCAAACCATTAACCATAGCTATCTGTGACTTAGGCTCATGATGTTATTTTCTTTTTGTCTTATTCCTCTATGTTTTCCAAATTTCTGCTGATGAACAGATTTCATTTTTCTTCAGAACAAAGTGTATTTTTAAAAGTCTAAACGAATGTCATCTTGTTATTGTTAACCACATAAATATTATTTTAAAAATGGAGTGGCTAAATTTAGTATTAAACAAAACCACATTTCCCTTTGTGCATGTGTGCACACATGTCTTAAGAAACAAGTTCTCTACTTCTCTGTGTGAATAAACTAAAGGAAACTAACCTGAAACTTGATTTATCCTCTTGCAGGTTGCTTCTGGTGAATGCAATGAAGACACGGAAGTTTACAACATCACCCTGTGTACTGGGGATGAACTCACTCTCATGGGGCAGGCAGAAATCCTCTATGCAAAGACTTTTAAGGAAAAATCGAGACTCAACACAATCTTCAAAAAGATTGGCAAGCTCAACTCCATCAGCAAGCTGGGAAAAGGCAAAATGCCATGCCTCATTTGCATGAATCACCGGACCAATGAAAGCATCAGCCTTCCCTTCCAGTGCAAGGGCAGATTTAGCACCCGAAGTCCGCTAGAACTTCAGATGCAGGAGGGTGAACACACCATCCGCAACATCGTGGAGAAAACCAGGCTTCCTGTGAATGTGACTGTGCCCAGCCCCCCGCCGAGGAATCCCTACGACCTCCACTTCATCCGCGAGGGGCACCGCTACAAGTTTGTGAACATCCAGACCAAGACCGTGGTGGTCTGCTGTGTGCTGCGGAACAACAAGATCCTCCCCATGCACTTCCCTTTGCACTTGACTGTCCCCAAATTTAGTCTCCCAGAACACCTGGTGAAGGGGGACATATGGCCAGAAACCCTGGTCCATCACTGGCTGGGTATCTGCCAAGAGCAGTTTGACATCGATGAGTATTCACGTGCTGTCCGCGACGTAAAAACCGACTGGAATGAGGACTGCAAGAGCCCCAAAAAGGGCCGGTGCTCCGGCCACAACCATGTGCCCAATTCCCTTAGCTACGCTCGAGATGAGCTCACCCAGTCTTTCCACCGGCTCTCGGTCTGTGTGTATGGCAACAATCTCCATGGCAACAGCGAGGTGAACCTCCATGGCTGCAGGAACCTGGGGGGAGAATGGGCCCCCTTTCCTCATGACATGCTGCCCTATCAGGACTCGGGTGACAGTGGGAGTGACTACCTTTTCCCAGAATCTAGTGAAGAATCAACGGGCATCCCAGGAAAGTCAGAACTTCCTTATGAAGAGCTGTGGCTGGAGGAAAGCAATCCCAACCATCAGCCTCTCACCCGCTCCCTGAGCGAAAAGAGCAGATGTGAGCAGTTTAGAGGTTCTGTCCGGTCCAAATGTGTAACTTCCCCTCTTCCTGTCCCTGGAACTGTGGGAGCAGCAATGAAGTCTTCAGAGATTGCCCTACCTCCACCTCCAGTGCCTCCCAAATCTGAAGCCGTAAGTCATTTCTGTGTTCGAGTGCTGTGCCAGCCCTTCTGTCTCTCTGCTCAATCACCCACCAGTTTATTTTCTTTCCTAATGAGAAGACAACTCCCCAGTGAAAGAATGAGCACATTTGCTTAATATACAGTGAAATATAAAAGCTTACTAGATGATTTTTAACAGTTAGAGGTTAGGATTTTACTCTATGTTTGATGAGAAACTCTGTGAGAGTTTTCAGTAGGAGAAGTTTCAATGAGACTTTTGCTGTTGCCTAGAGAAAAGATAGGGAGGAGAGAGCAGAAGCCAGGAGACTGGACAGAGGCCATGATAGCACAGAGGTACGAGATGATGGTGCCCTGAGCTACGGCAGTTGGTGGCAGTAGATGGCCAGGAGACATGAGTGGCTTCGGCACATGTGTTAGAGGTAGATGGTATTCACTGAAAAATTGGCTGTGAGTAGTAAAGGAAAGACAGAAATCAAGAAAAACTCGATTTTTAGCCTGGGCAACAGAATGGATATTAGTACTATTTATAGTGGTGAGGAAGACTGAAGGAGGAATAGGTTTATAGGGAGAGGAGGAGGAATCAAGAGACATCAGCATAATTTGTTTCTCTTTCCTATATGTCTGAAGTTACATCTGAGATCAAAGTATACCAGGGGTGTCCAACCTGTGACCTGTGGGCCACTTGCAGCCCAGGGTGGCTGTGAATGTGGCTCAACACAAAGTCATAAATTTACTAAAACATTATGAGATATTTTTTTGTGATTGTGTGTCGCAATGTATTTAATGTGTGGCCTAAGACAATTCTTCTCCCAGTGTGGTCCAGAGATGCCAAAAGGTTGGACACTCCTATAGTGAGTGTGCTCATGTACACACACACACACACACACACACACACACAGCCCAGAGCAGAACCAGGTGCCAGGGTGATTCTATTAATTCCTTGAACATAAGCCAGTCAGAGCTTGAGGGGGCTCTATCAAATTTTAATGTAAAAAGGTCAGTATAGGAGAGGAGAAAGGGCGCTCTGTTCTGACCATGATCTTTGATTGACAGGCACTATGAACCTTTGCTACTCATTTTTGATTGTTGGATTTCATTACATATGAAGGGAGAAAGCACTAGAGGCACTGGGTGTAATTCTGTTCATTTATTTGACAGTGTCTATTCCAGTGGGGTTTTTTCCCATCTTTGGCAGAATGCTTAAAGAAAAAAACTTATATTAATCAGAATAAATAGAAGATAAAATAAAAACCCATCTGACTGAAGCACAGACTGGGAGGAGAGGGTCTCTGTGTGCCCTGAGTGACTTCTGTCCCCCGCCAGGGGGTATCAAGACACCTTTCTGAAACCCTGGCACTCTACAAAACTCAGTTTCAAAACCATGAAATTATTTAGTGTGTGAGATGCTAGAAATATGACTGTCAGTGAGACCTGTACCCTGAATTCTAGTATCTTTCAGTTTATAGGGAAGGTAACAGATGAAAAGAGATGACTGTCATACAAGTTAAAATGTGCTCATCAATGGGAGAGACCTGTACATAGATCATGTGTGTGGGAGTTCAGAGGAGACAGAAACTTCCAGTGGGTTGATGAATGAGAGAAGTCTTTATGGAGATTGTGACATTTTAAATGAACGGAAAGAATGTATATGAACTGGAGAAGCAGAGAGATGAGAAAGAAGGACATTCCAGAATAGCATGAGCAAAGGTGTGGAAGCTGAGACAGGTGAGGAAAAACAGGAAGTGTTGTTGGGCCAGTGGAATAAGGCTGGACAGGGTGTGTGCAGGGTGGTGGTGGCTGAGAGGCCGGAGCCAGGCTGTGGACAGCCCCGAACCTCAGGCCACACTTTGTGCCAGGTGTCACGCTCAGCTGTCCATGCAGCGCCCTCACTGCTGCAGTTTCCTGAGAGAGGACCCACTTCTGTCTGCTTGTTCCAGGACATCAGAACTCCCCAGAGACTGCAGATCTGGATTTTCTCTTGCTCCTTATAGGATCTCCCAGGGTCCTGAAGCACAAGCTCAGAGATCCCCACACCCAGTAGGGGTTGTAGAATATTTGGGCTTAGTCTTGGTGGGGTTAGCGTCCTCGGTCCTTTTATTCATGTCAGAGGATATTCCCAAAAAACAGCTAAAAAGTAAAAGACACTCTTGCCGGCAAGTAGTTTAGGCGATTTTAGGTATGTGTCCACTCAGCGATATATTGGATGTCAGTTGAAGCTTAGAGCTGCTCCCACGGAACTTTGGCCCCTCTTGGCACGTAGTCAGGACTCATGTTTGCTGACTGATTGCTTGAGTCACACATAATGGTCACACCCAGAGTCCTTTATGTAGCCAAGTCTAAAGGTAGGAAACCCGTTTTTCCCCCCACTGTGGTATATAAGATGAGTAAGACCATAAATATTGAGGCCCTATCTTGACCTTGATACTAAAAGAAAAAATGTTACATTTGAAACTAGAAGCAAATCTTACAGGAAAAGAAAAGGTTTGGGCCTCCAATGTAAGCTGTGATTTCTGGTGAAGAGAATCTTTTCAGAGCATGCCCAGCGTCTATAGAATGCTGTAATCATAACAGTTTTTATAAACACCTGAAATCATTTAATTTACTTTAAAAAATTAGACATTTGAAATGAAGTCATTTTTTTATTGTTTCTCGACCATGAAATGAATTTTCCATCTTTAGGATGTGTGTGGGATCCAAAGGACGTCATAATTGTTAGATGTGGCTTCAGCTTGTAATTTGCAAGAGAACTTTAATGGGGCATAAATTCGAGTGCTCCTACAGAATTAAGTAAAAGTCTTTGGATAGTTACAGTGGAGTACCTCCTAGGGGAGAGACGTGCCACGTGTCCAGCAGCTATTCCACCTGATCATTAAGGATGGTTGTCAGCTTTCTGGTGTGACCAAATCTGGGAAGGGGACAACCCCGACCCAGTCTTTAGGAATAGAAGGTTCTGGAGCCATGGAAGAGAGTCAGAGAAAGCACGTCTTTCACAGGGAGGGAAGCAGAGCTGGCGATGGGCCAGTGAACTCTGATTGGCCACAGTCCGTGACCCAGTCAGGATCTAGAGGTCATTGGCCCCGGTGCCGGCATGTCAGTCTGTTCGTCTCCTCCTGCCTCTCTTCTTCACTTCCTGCTGCAGTGTGCTGAGGTATAAGACCTATCTGTGCTCTCTCTGCAGCAAATGTCGACGGTCTTTGTTTCTCTGTCTGTAAAAGTGAGATGAAATCTCTCCCCTTCAACAATGACGCTTACTGTGCTTCCCGCAGGGTGCTGTGGTTCCGGCGTCCTCTGGGTCAGCGCCTTTCCACCCACACTCTAGGGCAGAACACTAGGTTGTGAGGCCAAACAGAGGTCCTCAGAGGTTTAGCCCCCTTAATATATTTTGTACTTGATATGGCTCTTTATAGTTATGCTCTCATCCTTGTGCATTTTTGTAAAGATTATTTAATAATGTTTTTTTAAAACAAAATTGCTACTTACCTCTTCAGAATATATGAGAGGTCGTTCCCTTCCTAACAGGAGTGTCCCAGGGAAAAGTAAACAGTTCCTGGTCCCGGGTGTAGAGGGGAAGCAGCCACTCGTGTCCCTCAGAGTTGTTGCAGACAAGCTCAAGATCAGGGAGCATGCCCAGCTCACTAAACGGTGACATTGTCATTTTTTTTAACTGTGCAAAGTGCCCTTAAATCAGAATGACTAGACAGACAGTCTGTCTCAAGTAGATTATCATTATTGTTTCATACATTTATTCTAAACACATCTCTACTGCATAACCTTGTGGACCTCTGTTGCACAAGGGATAATCTCAATTTTCTGAGTATTGGCTAATATGTCTAAAATAGTAACCCAGACACACTCTTAAATTCTGTGAGTGACAGTCTGCTAGAGCTGTTCTTTTTTCCCCCTCCTTAGAAGTGCCATTTTGGAAAGCAATAATGGGAAGACTTTATATTCCACGAAATTCCATAAATAGAACATTTGACTTCCAGACCGCTCTGGGCCATGCAGTGAATTACAGATTATCGAACCACAGGGCCACAGCTCTGCTGAAACTGTGTGCACAGCAGTGTCCAGCGTGGGCTCTCCCGTCTCAGAACCCAGAGATTCATGTCCTCCATCTTCTTCAATAACAGGAAAACAAGTATTTTTACTCTGGGTTAGTTGTTGCCATTAGAACAATTCCTGAGAGTCATAAAAGGAGCTCTGGGTTGTGAACTACTGGTTTAAACCAGCCTTTCCCACAGTATTCATGAAGAATGTGTTAACCTTTGGGATGGACAGGGCTGCCCCCACCCTCAAGCCTACGAGAAACACAGTGCAGGGATTGAGTTACAGGATAGATTGGTAGCATGTGCTCATCGTTATAAGGCTGGAAGTCCATGGAAAATAAATTTCCTGTAGCAGAGCATGCTGTGTTGTTGGTGTTTGAGAAAAACAAGAATTGAAGGGTAAATTTCATGCCATATTGACTGGACCTTGTCCAGCAAGTGCTTGGTTGAACTGTACAGGTGCGAGTTGGTGTCATTGCATCTGCCTCAGATAGGCTGTCCAGTTGATGAGAAAATGAAAGGAGATAGCAGGCGTCCTGGGAGTGTTCTGGTCCCTCCCCTCAGTGGCACTGAACTGGAAGCAGGGAGATCTCTCAAACTATACGATAAATAAAAAGAACTGTGTAGCATGGCATCTAAGAACCACACGTGGATTCAAATCCTTGCTCTATTGCCTAGTAACTTTGAACCTTGGGCAAAATATTTAACCCCCCTGAGTCATTTCCTGGAGGCATAATAACTCCATTGCATTATTGTATTGTACAAAGTACTTGGCACTTCTCCCTGGCACTTGGTAAGCATTCAACAGATAGTAACAGTAACTTAATATGAGATGGAATCTGATTTAGAGTCACACAGGAAATGATTTGGGGGGAATTTTTTTCCTCTGTCCTTTCCTACCTAGGCTATAAAGCCTCTCCAAAGAGTTGCAGAGGCTCACAGGGCGGGTGCACGGGCAGGCGCA